GGGTCTGGTGCAGCGCCACGCGGTAGTTGACCAGCGCGGAGATCTTCTCGGGCAGGGCGTTGGACTTGACGCCGCCCGCGACGAGGTCGGCCGCCTGCGAGGTCTGCAGGATGAAGCGGAACTTGTCGCCGCGGGACTCCGCCAGCCTCTCGGCCAGGGAGACGTGGTCCGCAGAGCGGAGGGCCGACGCCAGCCACGGCTCGACCTGCGCGGGCGAGTGGCGCACCTGGCACTCGAGTTTCTGCCGGGACGGGTGCCGCCCGTCCAGCACGGGGATGAAGAGGTCCTGTCGCTCGAGCGAGTAGATGATCTCAGAGACAATGCCGATGCCCGTGTGCGGCGGGGGCACGGAGCTGTGGCCGCCGGGCACGGCGAGGGAGAGCACGATGTCGATGCTGCCCTTCTCGCCGACGCCGGGGAGCGCGTAGATGACTCCGTCGTCGTCGTCATCGGTGGCGCTGGCTAGCTTGTTGGGGTCGTTGTTGTCGCTGAAGGTTTCCAGGCCCATGCCGCCTTCGTCGAGGATGAATTCGAAGCTGTCGGGGCCGTACTTCTTCTGCAGGAACTCCGAGATATTCCCGGCGCCGAGGAAGCCGTGGGACTCTTCGTCGAAGCCGAAGGCGAAGAGAACGCTGCGTGTGGGCTGCCAGTCTTGGGCTAGCAGGTCCTCCACGGCCGACAGGAGACCAATCAGGACGTTCTTGCAGTCGCTGGCACCACGGCCCCAGAGCCATTCGCCGTCGAAGTGGCCGGCAAATGGAGGGTAGGTCCAGTCGGCGGCGTCGTTGATTGGCACGACATCCTGGTGAGCCAGGAAGAGAATCGGCTTAAGGCTGTCGTCGGTGCCGTTGAGTGTGTAGACTAGTCCTAGGCGGTTGACGTGATCTACACGGGCGTGGGAGTGGCTGTGTCAAGCGATCGTTAGGAGACACTCATGCTCATGGCCGGGGAGGATTCCCCCGACTTACAGAAGAGGAAACAGCGATTGCAAGAGCTCGTGGAATTCAAGGAATGGAGCAAATTTCTCATCATAGGGGTCTTTCATGTAATCATCAATGGCGGTTGGGACTTGGACTGCTCGCGACAGACGGTCGACCTGTCGCGACTTCACCGCATCGTCGGTAACAAACTTGACCGAGGAAAAGAAGCCGTCATCCGGGGCTTCGATCTTAGTCGCCAATGGGCAGAGATCGCTACTTGCTCCGGAGGACCAGGAGTTGAGGAGCTGCTGCGCCGAAGGAACGCTGAGAGACGCAACGGAAGGGGCTAGCAGCCCTACAATGACCGGTAGTAGCTGATACATGGGCGATGGTTCAGATACAGCAGAGCAGCACTCGCAGGGAAGAAGAACAATCGCATTGGCAAGGATTTTGGATCCATTATAAATGAGGGGAAGTAGCTTAAGCCACAACGCAATGGATTGAGTTATCTTATCGCCGGGTTGCGCAATCAAGGCGTCGATGGCAGCCCCCTCATTGTATCTGCCGGCGCGATAAGTCGGCTATCGGCTAAGGCGGATTTGGCCGCGCCGAGATTGCCTGAGAGGGCAAGTCTTTCCAGAAACTAGGAAGCATTTCATGCAAAGCGATAGCAACCGAAGGTTTGGTGGCATTCGATGGCGTAACATGAGTGGCGGTGAGGTACTTCAGAGCCACTATTCCTGCGTGGTTGAATCTCGAAATCGGTGATAAGAAGGACTGGCAGTCTCACGTATCATGGGAAGCAGACTGCTAGTCATTGTTCTTGTCGATTTGCCGAACCAAACACTTTCAAGTTAGCTCTGATGAAGTTTTGCTGCAGGTCGAGTGGATAGGGGGATCGGCTGCTGTTTCAGTTAACTACGAGTTTAGTGAAGCAGAAGTTGTAGTGTGATCTTGTTGGTCTGCAAAACCGGCCAAAGCAATCTATTGAAAGCATGAAGAGCAGTAGCGAAGGCTCTTTTTAACCTTTGATGATGACGATGGAAGCCGAGACTAAAGTGTCAGTGCATCATTGTGGCGCTGTCAAGCTTGTGACGATCGACAGGAGTAGCACAGCAGGAGAATCTGCAAGAGCAACAGCCAGCCCTGACGGAGAACAAAAGGGTTGATTGCATTGCGTGGGTGTGTTGTGAAAGATGAATGATGAATGACATGCCGATTGATGAAGGTAAAGTAGAAGCTGAGCTGCAGTGGTTGGAAGTTCGAAAAAGATGCCCAGACAGGAAGGATGATGATGATGGTGGTCCCGTGACTTGGCCGTCCTCCCTTTTCCTTTTCGTCCTTCCCACCCTCGCTCTGTTAGTACTGTACTGTACCTACTTCTTGATCTCACTTGAAACCTTTTTATCCTTTGAGATCTTGAACTTTTCCCTGCCCAACGACTCATCTGGCATGCTTCCGTTTAAGATTCCATGGAACCGACATTCTGTCGCGTTGATCATTGAGTGATGAAACGGCAATCAGGAACATCCCCATTTTGTGCCATTCTGGTCAGCTAAGAGAAACCCACTCCAGGATCCATCATGGGTTCGCCTCCCCACAAATCCCACCAACTGACAATCGCTAGTCATCGCGTGGTGGTCTCAGAAACCAATAGCGCGTTGATCCCTACATCACTCGTTCAACCCTTTCTGAGAGGAGTCAGAGGACAAGTGATGAAACACCAGCCTTAGTTGGCTCAACACAGCAAGGGATCGTCCGAAACGCTGCCGGCGCGGAGCCGACGATCGCTTAACGAACCATTATGGAATCCGGACAGAAGAGAGGCGTTCGTACGCGCGATCATCAGATCGGCATTTCTGCTGGGTTTCAACCGCCGATTTTTGCATGCTGCCCCAAGGGGTTGGTTCGCCATTTGAAAGTGTGCATCGTCGGTTGGTTCGTCTCCATCCGTTGGCATATTAAAGATGGATCATATTTAGGTTGACTCCGCCCATGAAAATTGGAACCTTGCCTGTCATCCATATCATTCTTTTGCCATCTGTTTCTTCTTTCTCCCTCCTGTCAAGCGCACATCCACTCTTTGAATTCAGAGTTTTCTTCCCAAATCTCATACACGTTCTTTACCTAGCCTCCGTTCTGTTTCTACACCATCAACCGACAAGATGATTCGGACGAGCATCCGGAATCTCGCGATTCTGTCGCTCGCCGCCTTCTCGTCTGCCTCTTCTTTTGTCGGCTGCTATAGTGAACCCGGCGAGCTAGTTCTCGCGGGGTCCTATCAATTCCAGTCCCTCGGATACTGCCAACAAACCTGCGACAAGCGTAACCAGACTGTATACGCTCTGCACGACGGAAATCAATGCTACTGCGGCGATGAACTACCCCCTTCGGAGTCTGAGGTGCCAGCTGCACAATGCAACACGCCCTGTGCTGGGTTTCCCTCTGATACTTGTATGTCTCCTCTACTTTGTCTGCAACATGCACAGCAGCTAACCGTGTCCACACAGGCGGCGGCTCTGACACCTGGAGTGTTAGTTCGGACTCCATCAACGTCAAACGCGATGATGCCGGCTCTGTCATCGTGACCGCACCGGACACGCCGGAATCTGCGGCAAACATCCAAGTCAACCCAACCTTGGTCGAGACTGGCATTGCGCTCGCCAGTAGTGTCGTCAGTGACGCGGAAGGCAGCGCCAAGACATCTATTCCAAGCGTCATCTTGACTGCTCCAACCATGACTGCTGCGCAGCAACAGCAGCAGGTGGGCTCGGCGACCGCCACTGCTGCGTCGATCGTGATCGTTGCGTCGAATACTCCATCTTCTTCGGCCGCTGTTGCCTCGTCAAGCGCATCTGCAAGCCCCTCGGCCAGCGTAGGCGCTGCTGCGGCCTTGGACGCGGGTGCGGGCCAGGGGTCGCTGGTCGGTGGCTTGCTAGTCTTGATCCTTGGCACCTTGCTTTATTAACGACATTTCGCATGATGACGGGCGATGGCAACGGCCGGCACGGATGGCAGTGAATACTCTCTTCAGTGTAAAGCTTTTACAATACCCTTGATTGACATTCGAGAAGAACCGCTGGTCGGTTCGCCTGTACTTACTATCGTTACCGCGGACACTCATTGCAATGCTCACTGCAGTCTCCCATGTAATTAGCAGAAAATTTATAAAAATAGGAAAACACAAAAATAGAAGCTGGGAGGTGAGGTGATCCTTCCATGATCATATGCTTGCTCGGTCCAAGTGAGCGACGGACAAATGCTAGCATCACTAATCTGAATGTGCGTTCGCTTCGTTTTTCTATTTCAGAGAACCAACAAGAGATTAGTACGATTGAGATTACGCATCATCTGGCATGTCGAAGCCCGAGGAAAGCCACGCATGACAAATCTGGTGGTTAAGTCGGTAGATTTGCCACGAGGGCTCATGGGGCATTCAGCCTGAAGTATAGTTAGCGGGTGCAACCATGGAAAGACGATCGTCAACGCATGGGTAGAGCAGATGGAGCAACAATGCAGTCATGAGAGGGAGTGCTCAGACCACACCATCTATTCATAGGTCCTAGTAATTGTCGGTTATACCCTGATGCCAACGCGAATGCAACCTACTAATCAAGCACCGGTGCCCCATCGGAACCAAGAATCAGACAATGTCATGTCTACCCGGTATCCACGAAGAAAGGGAAAAACCAAGCTTCGCCATGGAACGGTAGCAGTTTGCAGTAAACCGTCGCGACGAAGCGTTCCCCCCTCGACCCCTTAAACATGACCAATGAAGGGAGCCGAAATACGAGGACGTGGTGGAGTAGCCCGATCTCGAGGTACAGTCCAGTCCAGTAAGTACTCGAGTGCTCTGTAGAGTCACTAGAGTGTATGTAGACTGCAGTGCTCCCCGAAAATAGAACATTTCAGGCGTCCCGGACAGCCGGGTTCCCGCTCGATCCGGTGGGAGAGAATAACCAGGGTCTTGTGGGGTGGATAGAGGCTGAAGGACCCCGGAAGTACGGTACCTACAGTCCTTTTAAGTGCTTGGGGGTAACTTAGAATGTCGACGGGAGTATAAGAACTCGCCGTCTGCTCGAGACAGCAACAACAAGAACAACCACCACCACCACCACCACCACCACCACCACCGTCCTCCAAAAGAGCATCTCCAGACTCAAGCACAACAAAATATCACAGAACAAAAGATGTCGTGCAACCTCCTCACCAACCCCTCCTTTGAAACCGGCACCCTCTCGCCGTGGTTCACCACCGTCCCCAACGTGAACATCGCCACCGTCACGAACGCGACCGCCGCCTACGATGGCGAGTATTACCTGTACGCCCCCTTCCCTATTAACCCTTTGGCATCTTACCCTGTCCTGCCCTGCCCTATCCCCCCCCCCCCCCCCCCCCCCCCCCCCCCCCCCCCCCCCCCCCACACGAACCCCCACCTCTACCCCCAATCTTTACATGCAATACTAACGCGAAGAAAGCGACCTCAAAACCGACTACGGCAACCGCGGGCACTCGATCGCGCAGACCCTAACAGGCCTGCAGCGCGGCACGGTGTACGACTTCTCGGCGCAGATCCAGATCCCGGGGCCCTCGGGGGTGGAATACTGCTTCGTGGACGCGTACGTCGGGGCGAACGCGACGACGGGGGCGATCGTCTCGCAGCAGCTGCTGCCGACGGGCGAGTGGACGACGGTGCGCGGGTCGTATCAGCGCACGGGCCGGCGGGCGGAGGACGTGTTGACGCTGACGGGGTCGTGTACGTCGCCGGGCAGTTCGTATGTTTGGGATGTGTTGGTCGATGAGGTGGTTTTTGGGGCCGCAGAGGGGTGTGTTTGATTTTCTTGTTCTTGGGGGTTTCGGATACTATGCTATGCTATGCTATGCTATGCTATGCTATAGTGGGATGGGGGTTTGGTTGGGAGGGGTGGGAGGGATGGGTGGATTGTATCCTGGGTTGTTCAGGGGATGCTTTGGGCTGAGGGGAGATAGGATTTAATGCGATGAACATGACTAGCGGGTGGTGCAATGATTTCTGTGAGAGTCACAAGAACAACCTGAGGGAGAGGGGGGGGTTGTGCTCCTGTTGCGTTCAATGACGTGCCGATTGGAAGGAAGCATGGGAGATGGATGCTTGCATGGTGGTGAGCATACAGAGGCACTATATTACTATACTATACATCCGGTACACTCTATGAATGCGAACAAACCTCCATCCCTCCAGCCAAACAACAAAACGAAAGGCCCAAATATTCAGTGATATCACAATCAAACCCAACCCTGCTCCTCATCAAAACAGCCCCAATCCCACTCTCAAACAAGTCCGATTCAATTCTAATCCCGACTCCCTAACCACTAGCCTCGATTCTCCACCCACACAAAGAATTACAATCGGAACACCCCTGCAGACTACCTTTACACTCACGGCATACAGCAAGGGATGTGATCTACTCGGACAGAGGCCTTTGAATCGGCGCAGAAGGAAACCAGTAGTCGTCTATAGGCAGAGCCACGAGAGTGACCACGCCGCAGCATATGACACGTCGTGGTACGTTTGTCCACCTGTATTGTCCTCAAAATATGCTACCCGATGTGCGAAGACTACTAGTCAAAGATCAGAAAGAAGATTGGTATGCGCGCTGCCATACAAGGCCAGTAGAAGATTAGAACGACATAGTCTCCAATGCCCAAAAGGCTAGTCGTATTACAACTTTGACGAACCCTGCTGATTCGCTCACCACAGTAACCAGACCCGAAAAGATAAGAGACACCGAAACGGTAGAAGAGATTCATCGTAAAACATAATTCACACTGCCAGACGACTGCCTAGGCTAGACCAAAGGCTACAGCATCTCAACGGCTTAATGTTATTTAAGCCAAAGTCCTACCGCTGCTTTATTTGATCATAAACTGATGCACTGACGGTGACGCCGTTCCAGGCAGGGGAAAGTGGTTTGTCATTCCTGTGCGCTATTAGCCCATGAACACTAACAAGCGACTGAGTGGCTTCGCGTACTTTATGTAGGAAGTCTTTATATTCCGTGCTCTGTCTTTGACCTGCCCCGTACTTTTGTTAGTGAACCTTTTTTCACCTGGCTGCTTCGGCTCGATCCTGTCATGTTCTCTGATTTTTTCCCAGTGAAACATGGTGCCCCTGAAACAGGTGCGTCCATGCTGGTTAATAAGCCTCTCTAGTCGCTCTGATTGCCCAGGCTCCCAGCGTATCGTAGGCCGCCTGTCTGGTTTGTTTTTTTGAGTGGAAGGGGCCGAGGCGGATGGTGAATTTGGCGAGACCGTTTGAGCGGGTCGAGTCGACCTTCTAAGTGGAGTAGCGTGTCTATCTTGAGCGTGATTGCCCGAGCTCTCCGTCGCATTTTCCGTTTGACTTTCCAGTCGAGCGCGCTTACTGCGTGGCTGGATCGGCTTTCTGGCCCGTTGCCGCTCTACTGATACCTCGCGGTCGTCGTGCTCGAACTCATCATCGCTTTCAGGAACCTCATCGGCTTCACGCCCACGCTTGCGCGATGTCTCGTTGCGCCGACGCTCGACGCTTCGAGGATCCAGTCCCTGACTGATGGGGGACACGCGTGCGGCATTAGTCTGCCGGTCAATGAACAGAGCACGTGAGTCTCGAGGCGCAGCCGTAGACCGTGGGGGTCCCTCGTGAGACACGTTTGATACCTGACTGACATCGTTGTTCGTGTCTTTTGCTAAACCGTGCCTGGATTGCTGCAATGCCTCCTCTCGAAGGGACGATGGGCGGGAATTGCGAACAAACGAAGGACTATGGGATCTCTCCAACTGAGACTCCCCAGGATCACCAATGTCTAGTTGGCCATTAGTCACCTCGATTTCGACCTCGTCTTGAATAAATGTCGACGTCATATCGGGCGATGCTGGGATTTCGGACGGTCCCTCGGGGGCCGGTTTCTGTGTGTTTGCCCTCGGGCGCTCTACCTGGCGATTTTCAGGACTTGTGTCTGAGGTGAACTGCTGCCTTTCGGAACGGTCGTTTGATGGAAGAGGCTCCGTCTGTCGGGAGACTCCGGGAATTTCGGTGCCAGCGCTGAGCTGCTGTTGTCGTTGCTGCAATCGATCCACGGCGGTTTGATTTAGGAACGTTCTTCTGGACGTTAGAATAAGGACAGCACAAACATCAGGAGGAAGACTTACGGCTTGGCTTTGAGGGACTTCCTCCCTTCTCGGTCTACAGGAGGAGGCTTCTTGAAAACGTTTGGCGGAATCTTGTTGCTAGCCCGGGTTGTTTCGACAGTATTACTGGCACTTTTCTCCGGTCTAGTAACGGCAGGCACGGGCTCTGCGCGTGCTGGAGACCTAGCAGGCTCGGCAGATTTTGAGGTAGCTCTTTCCGACCCTCTGGCTTGCTGTTCGATGCGCGGCGTATCAGAGCCATTCACTTCTTCAGCCTGCTGCATACTTCCAGATAGTGGTGTAGGTGACTCCGGCTGCATTTGTCTCTGAGCCTCTGGGCTTACGAGGGTCCGACTTAGATCGTGCTCGGCAGGAGATCTAGTAGTCCTCTGCAGGGATCTTGCAGACGGTCTAACAGGAGATTCTAACTGCATCGATCTGCGGGCCTCGGGACTTGCAGACTCCCCAGACCCCCAATGAGAATTTCTTCCCACCGGTTGAGTTTCGGGTATGGTATGGTACTCATTCCGGAGGCTGGAAGGAGTGGCACTATACCGAGAACTTCGCGCCGAGACCACACTGCCAGGGATATTCCGCGGGCCGTTACGAGCCAGCGAGGGCGTAACAGCAGCATATCCCGATGTCGTGGCAGTTCCTGGAATAGACTGCGTCGGATGCCGGGCGGTTGACGGCGTTACTGAATTTCGCGTCCTAGGGGTCGAAGAAAACGTGCTGCCCAGACTATAGCGCGTCTTAGGTCTGGCAAAGAACGCCTTTTTGACATCCTTATAAGTTTGTAACGGTCGTCGCATATCGGCATTGATCTCGTCGGTCCGTTTACAGACCCATTGGGCAGCGCGTAGGACGAACTTCCGCCATCCGTAATTTTTTTTGAGCCCCTCAATGTCGATGGTGTCTTCCACCAGGCAAAGAGCCTCCATTTCCTGGTAGCGATACGCCACCTCAGCTTCGAGCCCTGGTGGGATTTCTCCGTTAGGACCCCTCAGCGCCTCAGTTTCGAAGCCTCGGAGAACTAATCCCTCTTCGTTCGCCAGCTCAATGCAAAAGCCCTCTTCCAGCACTCTGGAAGGCTCAAAATCCGGATCGTGCTGAGACTTCTCCTCCAGCTGCATGATCGTGTACTGGGTACGCAGTTCTAGAGCGAGATCAAAAGTCTCCTTTTCCAACGAACTATCGCCCGCAGATCTTTTCTGGCCCGCTGGTACGAGCCTGGTTGTGAAAGGCAAAGGAAATATGCTGTCAAGGATCCGGATCGCCTGCTTCACAGATGAAGTTGATTCGGGTTCGCACAAGAGAACCTCGAGGACAAACCGCGCACAATTAGCTTTTTGCAAGGCTGGCGCTGGATCCCACTGGCCCTCAATCTCATGTAGCTTCTCAGCCACTGTTGCCGATGATCTGAAAATGTCATCAACCAGCTCGACGTCAATGTACGGCTGACTTCCGAAGTACTTAGCTTCCTGTCGGAGGTTGGAGGTTTGTCGAGCCAGCCGCCAGCTTTCCAAACTTTGGGAATCATTCAGCTTCTGAAGCAACTTGGTAAACTCGAGCAATTCGAAAGGGCTGGGCACCGAGAACTCCAGCATGTCCTCGGCCGCATCCCACAACTTGGGGAACACCTCAATCATCTTTCCCGGATCAAGGTCCAAGTCCGGCTCCGAGGGTAAGATAGTGGTCCCGGAAATATTGATCTCATCTTCTGGTGTCTCAGGGATAGCCTGATTCTCATTCCCAGGCCGCGAAGCCATCGGCTTCAGGGGCGACGACTTTTGAGGGGATTCCTCGGCGACAACATCAAGGGCTGACAGGGAAAAGAACGTGAGCTCGAAGATCAAGCAGGAGGTCCGGGACAGACCCAAGGCAGAACAAAGGAGAGCCAGCATGAATACGACAAACGAAGACAACCGACTGTATGCAACAACAAGAACAACCACACACCCTCTACTTTAGAATACAGAGAAAGATGAAGAGAAGTGAATAAAAAGCCATTCACTCACCGGTCGCATGCCCCTTTCTGCCCGAGACAGCCGCATCATCAACCAGATGATGATTCGCGTCCTCATCATCATCAACCAGCGGTCGACGATGCTCCCGACTCTGACTCCTGGTCACTCGCCGAGTCACGGGACTTGTTGTTTTCCTGAGAACTTGACCAAAAGCACCGGAGCTCGACCCATGTCCATTCGACCCTTCCTTCATCAGCGGCAGGGATGAAGAGTACGAAGGGGTGGAAGGTGGTGCTTCCACCTGGCCCGACCGCGACCGCGCCATAGAAATCGATCCCAAAACAATGGCCACAACACAACGCAAATAACAAGAGAGAGAGAGTGCCCTGTGTAAACAGGAAGGCGGTCAGGCGGGAACGGGAAGATGTAAGTGTATTTCCCTACTAAATCCCCCTTGCAGCGAAAGGAAGTAGAAAACTGAGATGCAAGACGAGTGCTTCACCCCACCACCGATGGTTGTTGTGATGAAGAGAGGTGGTCGATGGCTGGGAGAGGACGGGGGGCACGGCCGAAGCGGAGAAATGGAAAGGACTTGGATTGTGCCAAACGCCCATAGGACAGACTTGGGGTAAGCGGTTGCACTAAGTAGGGTAAATGCTTATGTAAGTGGCTTATATCAGCGGCAAAATAAAGGCGGTGAGCCAGATTGGGAAACCCTAATGTAAACCCTTATGTCAACCCTAACTTCGGGTTTCTACGACCGTTGGACATTTATTCCTCTTTGGGAAGTCAGAGTTGCCTCGAGGTAATGGAAGGCTACCGCATGAAGTGAGGTGCTGGTCTGTATACAGAGTACAATAATCCGAAGATTTAGCTTGCTATGGAAGGAAAGCCACACTGCTGAGACAAAGCAGCGCTGGCAACTCTGATAATCTGAATCAGAGCCAATGAAACCAGGCACACTTCATGCTGTATTTACTCGGCCCCCAGGGATTTTCTGAAGCTGCAAGAGTCTCATAGCATAGCTCAGCCTCTCGTATACTACTGCCTTGATCTTGAGGAAGTTCCTGTGTATGAAACTTGCACAGCAGAAGACATATCACAGCAACAGCAGGAGTCGCGGGCGTGTTCATCTATGCAACAGCCAGCTTTTTAGGAGACTCAACCAATAGTAACTTCACCCTGTGCGTTCTCCCAGACTTGCAAATAACATTGGCGTATAGAGTAATGCCTCCTGCACCATACTACCAAGATTAAGAAAAATCCTGTTTTTAGTTCCTGAGAATTTGCGTCGCGTTTAACACTATAAGTTTTGTCTCGGCCGCGCCCAACCGTGCAACAACCAGCATCCTCGGAGGCTCAGCCTCGAATAATTTCACCCAACGAGTTTTCCTGAAGGCACAGAGGGTCCTGTGGTATACCTCGGAGTCTAGGGTACCAACTTACCAAGAATCTGGAAATCCTTGTTTACAGTTTTCGAGAAACTGCGTCTTTTTGAATGCCTGTGGGTTTTGTTCCAAAGTCTCGGCCACGTCCAACAACCAACATCATAGGCAACTCAGACTCGAATGACTTCGCTCTCGGAGTTTTCCTGAAGGAGCAACCGCCCCCGAAGCATATATTGGAGCCTACAACATCATAATAACAAGAACAGAAAACTCCTGTTTACAATTTTCGAGAAAATGCGTCTATTTGGAATGCTTGTTAGTTCCATTTCCGTATAGATCGAGTCTGCTGATTTCGCCGCCTTCACCACGGTATCCCCATTCTAATTGTGTGTTCAGTCATTACTTTCCAACGATTCTCACATGGAGCCAGTGCAACTTTATCATTAAAGAGGGCTAAATTCATCATGAAGTAGAGGGACTAATGAATGAGACTGGGTGTGAGGTTATGAGTGAACTATTCTGGAACGGACTACGGGGTACTTGAGACAAAATTACTTAGCTGAGTTGTGAAGTAAGAGGTGATTGCTGGTAGAGCAAGATGAGATTGAAATGCAACTCATTCTAAATCCAGGTAAATTTCAGCCGGCACCAGCTCTCATAAATCAACGCCGTAGATGCCATCCATCTGAAGATGGATTTTGACAGCCATCATCTTTTATTAAAACATGCCAGACAGGCTAAGAGAAAACATGCATGCATTATCAAGTATATGCGTACCAAGGGACCCAGCATGCCACGAAAGAGCAAGGCTCAAAGGGAAGAAAGGAAGACGAATGTCTTAGTAAAGCGCTTCGATAAGGTAGATGACGCCAAAAACCAAGAATGCAGTGGCACCTCCCAGGGTGACTGTCGACAGGTTAGCATGCCGTTAAACCCGACAAAACAAGAGAGACAGAAGAACTTACCAACACGCATGCTGACCTTGCCAGCAATGGCACTTCCTCCAATCACTGCCGCAGCAGTGCAGAGTCCATGGCCGGTGATAGCGCCGACGGTGACCCACCAGTAGTCCTGACCCGCAGCCATGGCGATGGTGGCGATCTGGCTACGGTCGCCCCATTCACCCAAAAAGGTCATCACAAAGGTTTGCACCCAGGCGGGGCTAAGAAGAAGCGAGAAGAGGTTGTTCATGCCAGTGAGAAGATCGCCCCAGCGGTTGGGGGAAGGTGACGATCCACGCGAAGAAGAAGATGAGACACTCTCCGGAGGCGAAGGGAGGCGGTTGCCAGATGAACGGGACTTGCGCCGGCCCACGCGGCCGGCCTCCAAGGCGTGAAGAGTCACGGAAGAGCGACGGCGGTTCATGCGCATCTGTTGCTGCTCCTTCTCTTCCAGTTCCATCTCAACCTCCTTCATTTCCTCGCCAACACCCTCATCGGGGGACATCTCACGACCCTCCTTCAGCATCTTGAGTCCGAACACGAAGAAGAGGACCGCTGCCAGAAGCTTGGTAAGAGACTTGGGAATCAACGAGGGCACGGCGTGACCCAGGACAGCCGAAAGGACCGTCATGATCATCAGCGCGCCAAATGCCGCGGAGAAAACGAGCAGGCGCGGGTGGCGCATCGCCATGAGGGCGGCCACCAAGAATGTTTTATCGCCGATCTCCGAAACCACGATCATGGTAAACGAGAACAGCAGCGAATGGAACGCGGTTTCCTCCTGAATATCTCCGGATTGTGGTTGAAGGTGACCATCCTTGTCCAGACCGAGCGGGCTCTCTTTCACCGTCGCGGGCGACTTGGGAGGTGGGATGTCATGGGGCTTCTCAGGCAAGTCGGCGGGTTTCTTTGAATCAGCGTTAGCGCATTTGCCCCTTTTCAATTGAGGGTCATACCAGCATCCCCGCTTACCTCGAGTCGACCCAGGCTCGAATCTGCAGTAAAGCTCTTGGGGTCCTTCGCCTCAGTGGCCTCATTTTGCGCGGGCAGCTTCTGCTGCTCGCTGTGCGGCAACGGCGGAGCTTCCTTGGGACTATCCGGCGTCTTCTCGCCGGGAAACGGATTCTCCCTCATCTTCTCCGTGACGCCGCCCTCTGTTCCTCGAGTTCCTTCTTTCGGACCCGTCCGATGAGGGTCGTCCATCACGCCGTCATTTGAATACGGGATCGGCTTGCCGTCAGGCCCAAGTTGTTCCGTCGCTTTATAATCGGCCACGGTCACGTCGTCCATTGACACGCTCGAGCCTGACTTTTTGCGATCCCGCTCGGCGCTTGTTTCCACCCATGGACCGGCGTGAGGCCGGCCATCCTTGCCGTCGATGGGGGCGTCCAGCGTCCCTTTAGAAGCAACCTTGGGGGCAGCAAGTGCATCTATATCAATAGCGTTGGCGGTGGATGCATCCTGCAGGCTCCCACTGGCTGATGTTGAATCGGCGACGGCGACCGAGAGTGCGGGGAAAAGAAGAAGAAGCGAAGACAGATGGTGGACCTTCATGATGCAAAGCTTCGGCCGCGAAAGAGATGTCGATCGAAAAAATTAGTGATACAATGACCGCAGCTAGAATTGAGCACGCATTAAGTGATCCGGCCGTAAAAGAAGAATCAAATCTAGAGACAATGGTTTGTTACTCAAGCCACGAGAGCAACTCTGACGCGGGGAATGAGAGGGAACGCGAATGAGGCAACCAATTATGCTGAAATCGACGGCGATTCCGGTAGACGGCGTCGACTGAACGACAGAAAATCAATATCAAAGAGACCAAGAAATAAAAAGAAGGAAGAAGGAAGAAGGAAGAAGGAAGAGACCGAGGGGCTGGGATGCAGGAGAATCAAAAGAGAGGAGCGAGAGCGAAAGACCCGATGGAGCCTGGGCTGGCTGCAGTGTGTTTCCACACCGGCCGCAAAGGGGCAACGCCGCCTCCACATCACGTGGTGGCTGGCCGCTTGCGGGCGGAGGTTAAGTTGCCAGATTTCCTGCCTCAGGACGGTCGCGTCTGACAATCGCCCAGCCATGATAGGAGGATAGCAAAGGAGCAAAATACAACAATACCATACATAGACACCTATGCAAGGCTGGGTCCGGTACGGAGTACATCCACTCCCCATCATTCAGGGGATACAACAAAGGAATTTGACAGCGTGAACAAATATTTTTAACAACTGCCGACTCCTGCAAGATCGTTGTACTGTAGATGTAGACAAAGCCCCGGTCAAGCTGTTGTGGTTATACCATGAGTACAGTACATACATTGCAATATACACCTTCCTCGTCTATCAGTATATGATGTCCATGTAGCAGTAAATCGATACATATATTATTTAAAGACCTGCCCTGAAATCCAAACAGACCCTTTTTTTGAACCCGATTTCAATAATAGACCAATCCGACCGATAACCTCGCAACCATGCGAGCCAAAATAAACGCCAGCCGAAGAAAAACTCCAAAGTCCTGAGAAGGGTATCACTCATGCCTCATATCCGTGTACGGAGTAATCCCAACACAGAATGATTGGGAACAAAATCAAGGAAATCCCCATAGACCATAGACCAACAAAATTGATCAAATGCACGCATGCTGTTGTGAGATGTGTATTTCGTTTCAATCAGATGCAGACCCAGACCCCGACAGACGCCGTTCCGCCGTTTCTCTATCCTCCCATTCCGACAACAGCTTCGAAACCTCTTTGAAGGAAACCGGCTTCGTGAGGAACAAATTGACACCCGACGTAAGTGCCTCAGATTCATCGCGCGAGCTACTGAGGCCCGTCAGGGCGATGATCACGGCGGGGGCGCAGCCCTCACCACGCTCTTTCTCAATGGCTCTGATGGCGCGTGTTGCCTCAAAGCCATTCATTACTGGCATAGACATATCTAAAGTGGTGGAGTTAGGAAAAGGCTAGATCATAGTGACGAAAAGAGCGACTTACCCATGAAAATAATATCATATCCTTCAGGCAACCGCTCAACGGCATCGACGGCCAACTTGCCGTTCTCAGCTGAGTCCAGCGTTTCGAGTTCCCTCTTTTTCATGAATGTGAGCATTAGCTTGAGATTGATCGAATTGTCGTCCACAACCAAGATACGTGCGCGGCGATTAATCGGAAAGAAATCTGGTTGTTGCCTGGGCGATTGAGGTTGCACGGATGATGCCGGTGATTCAGTTGGACACAAAGGGTCAAAGGCATCAGAGGACTGTGACCGCATGTAGTCGTAGGAAGACGATGAGTCTGAGCCGGCGGTCGCTTCTGGCGTGAGCTCCGGAGTATCAGTGGGAATCTCAAACATCCTTTCTCCCAGGGATGTATCCTCTGATGTCAAGACGGCGGGCCGGGGCCGTTCAGGTAGCTCAATTGTCCTCACTGGTAAAGTGCCATTTTGAATCTCCAAGCACTTGCGAATGCTGCGTGCGAGTTTGTGTGGACCACATGGTCGTCGAATAATATTAACCATGTTGGCCAAAGACAACCACCGCGACCGACTTGTCGTATAATCAACAGATTTACTACAGAAGACGAGGAGACATGGAAGCGTCGTGTCGGTATCGGGTTGCGTTCCCGAAGCCAGGTCCTGTTCCTCAGCTAGAGTAATATCCGCGGGTATTCTATCCTGGGACGACACTATCTCAAGGCCATACCAGTCGGTCAGATAACGTATATAGACGGACCAGAATGCATGTGTCGCTGCTTCCGCGGGTTCTACCCCCCAAATTGCAACGCGACGACCAGCATAAGTTTCGCGCAGCATACGACTTTCTGTCAACGCGTTTTTCTCCTTGGCCGACGGCGACCGGGGCCCCACTGTCTCCTCTAGATCCACTTCAGGACCAGGTCGGATTAGTGGAAGAGACACTTTAACAATGGTACCTTCGCCAGGGCGACTATGAATGTTGATACTACCCTTAAGGGCTTTGACAAGACTCCGTACAATAGAGAGACCGAGGCCGGTCCCAACTGCGAGAGTGTCTTCTTGAGCGAACGGTGTGTACAGACGACCACGCAGAAACTCCTCAGAGATTCCTTTGCCCGTGTCAGATACCGTTAAGGTGACCAATTCTTCGACTCCATGACGGCGTGAGCGGCCCTCTGAAGCTTCTGTGACCTCCAAATGCAAAGACACACGACCACTGTGAGTGTACTTCATCGCGTTTCCAAAAACGTTCATGATAATACGTCTCAAGGCTCCCGGTTGCGTGAGATAAGTCCAATCATTATGCGCAATATCGACTATGACCTCCACATCTGAACGACATGCCGTCTCTGCCTCAAGCTCAGACGTGGGTTTTCTCAATTGGCCAAGCGGCAGGACCATGGGCTGATCAAAAGGGGCAGAGGACTTCTGACCATATGCATGACCCAGACATACCCCTTCTACAACTTCTTCAGCCAATAAAGCCAAATCTGTCGTCACATAGGTATCCAGGTGCGTGGAGAACCGATTCGGTCCTTTCAACTCGGTGGGTGATGTTCGACCTCGTTTCATATTTCGATAGGTGCGTTCCAGAGAAACAATTTTGCTAAAATCCAGGACTTGGTTCATCGTGTCCAGCAGAGTACGGCCGCATGCGTTGATAGTCTCCAAGAGAGAGGTCTGAAACTCGTCAAGCTGCGTGCCGTTGAGAAACTCCGCGGCCGCCAGGATACCGTGGAGTGGACTCCGAAGCTCGTGACTGGCAAATTGTCAGCAAACAGTGTATGAAATGTATGTTCGGAATACTTACGATATACTGCCTATAAAATCGCCCTTTTGCCGATCTGAAATGAGTGATTCGACCCGATTGCACTCTGCCATGATGGAAGATCCGAACCCGAGGATGGAACTCAATTCTACCGACGAGCTGAACACTTGCGTCTCCACAGTATTCCAACAGAAACAGCCGGCAAACCATTGCGAATTTGCAGAATTCCAGAGTGGCACAAAAAGAACTTGAGTGGCATTCGGGAAGTACTGATTCAGCATAGAGTTCTCCGTGGCTCTCCATCGCTTGGATCCTGACTTGCCCGTCTCGGACGACTTGGTGGTGCGCGAGCGACTTCTGCGCGGCGATTCATCGTCGGAACTCGATATCATACCGTCGCGATGAAATGACCAAAGCTTGCCTTTACTGTACCGCCGCAGTAGTTGGTGAAGAAACGCAGTGTCGAGGGAGGCTGCTGGGTAGAGGACCTTCGAACCCGGGCCGGGCGCAAATGGCTCTTCATTGGTTGAGATAGCCAGCACAGGAGCCGGATTGTTGCCTTCGATCGAGCAATCGCTTCCTGTGTCGATGTCGATCATCGGACTATTGTTCGCCTCGACGAAAATGACTCCGCCATCCACACTAAGCTCAAGACTCTCTCGTAGCAGATTAGCGGCCCGTCTGAATGCCCAGCTATGTCCATGAGAGTCATCGGAATCCTTCACTTCTTTTTCGCGACTGCCAGCCCACCAATCCGGGAAGGGGATATCCGGTCCGGAGGATTGAGCATGATCGAGCTTTGATTCCGACACGGAACTGAAAGAGCGAGTATCGCTGCTTTGAGATCGTCTAGATGGGGCATCGAAGCTATTAAGGGACCCAAGAGAGTGGTGGTTGGCTCGTTGACTTGACGAAGGAGGTGTGCTGGGTGCCGCTGCAGAGCTACCAGAGGAGGAGGGATGGCCTCCATCGACAAAGCTGGAGCTACCTTCAACAAAGCAGCTGAGACCACGAGACAGGCGGGCTGCGCGGCGACCTTCGGAAGCCTGGCGGCTAACCTTCAAATAGTCCATGATCAAGCCGGCCAATGTGTCCATAGTGCCCCTCTCCGTATTGCTTAAACCATCGTGCGGTTTGGTGTCAAGAACAAAGAAACATCCAATGTTGACATTAGTGTCCGTCGTCAAGGGCGTACCGGCATAGAATCGGAACTTCGGGTCTCCTATTACGAATGGAAGGCGCTTGTATCGTTCTTCTTCGCTGAGGTCGTTCAGAATCAAGAACTGGCGTTGTCCCGGTTCGCGGGCGGACGGAAGAGCAACAGTGGCCTGGAGGAAAGAGGCGATCTCGTCTGAGTAACCGAAGCGACGGAACATATTCGAGGAGTCGATACCTACCTTGCACATACTCCAGGCGCTGGATGATAATGTTGAGCAACCATCCCAGACACCTTCCCCGGATGCTTGATAATCGCTAATGCCCCCAGTCTGGGTGCTCTGCGCCAAAATGAATTGGCTTTGGCGGTCCGAAACACTGTCGGGGAGGTCGGTCAAGTCAGTCATCCACAGTGAAAAGGCGGACAGGAGTTACCCCAGGGTATTGAGTTTTGGTTCCCGACGTACCTGATCAACACGCGCTCAACATTGAGTCGCAATGCTGCCAGCTGCGCAAACGATGTTAACGTCGCATTAGCTTCGCCGAGTATCAGAGTCTCGGGGACAAGCCCCGCAGCGGCGGCGTCAATGGCGGAGTTCGAAGGACATTGGGAGGATAATGAGGGCGACGAAGGAATATGGCTGGAGGAATCTAAACTGGCGGAGGGAAACGCATCATCGCTGGCGGAGGTGGAACTGCGGTCTTGAGGGACACCGGCGCGTTCGGGCTGGAAGTACCGGTACAATTCCCGAACTCGGCGACCCGCGTTATGGTCATCGCCCCTTTGTGGCGGGGGTGATGATTCCATGGCGGGGAGGAAAGGAAGAAAGGAAGAGGAAAGGGAAAGGAAGAGGAAAGGGAAAGGAAGAGGAGAAGAGAATGAGGATGTAGGATGATAACAATAAAAATAATAATAGTAAGAACTATAATTATTTTTTAGGCGGTCCTGACTCTCATAAAAATCGATGCGACGGGGGGGGAGAGGGAGTTGGCGCTCAAACGGGCTTATGCAGCCATCCTGGTGGGGGTGGGAATGGAGGCGCTGGCTTGATCGGATTAAAGTGTGGCGAAAATAGTGTTAGTGAGGGAGCCACAAGGGAGGTGACGTCGCGATAGTAGAAGTCGGAAAGAGGCTAGATAGGAGGACAGAGAAAATGTAGGATAATGGGATTGAGTAGTAGCAGTAGGAAGTAGAAAGAAAGAAAGAAGGGAAGAAGAGGAAAGGGAAGGGGAGGAGCGGGCTGCTGAAAGCCAGCTGGAATCGAGCGGGTTTAATATCAACTCAATCAAGGATTGCTTGCAGGGCACTCGAAGGAGGACGAGGAGAAGTGAGTGAGTGAGTGGTGGGAGGGGAGTAAGAGAAGGAAGGGTAGGCGAAACGAAACAAGACAAGACAACAGACGAGGGCAGAGTAAGTAACCAGTAACTCAGCCATCTAGTCAAATGGTTTGGTCAGTTCGTTAATCAGTCAGCAAATTTATGCAGAAAGTGACTCTTTTGGGACATCAACCAGCAGTAGCAGTGGATTGGGGAAATTAATCTTTCATTTTACATACAGACCGAAACAATGCATCCATAGTTATTCAGTAGGTTCAATTACTTTGCACAGTTCCAAAAAAGTAAGTAGCAGATTAGTCATGGCCAGAACGTAACGGACGCATGAATCAGGAAATTCCGGATGGCAAATCTTACGTGGAATGTCGGGAAACCACATCACAATCACCACCGTCAGTCACTGACCAGGATCATACTCATAGTCGGTGACCGATTATCTCATGAAAAGTCACCTCATCAGCTGTCAGTCAGTCCACACAACTGCGCCTTATCCGGGGGTACCCGTCAAATGTGGCGATATTGATAGTGTACAAGAAAAGGCAAAAGGGGATAAAAAGATACGACAAAAGGGCAGGCGCCGAATGATACCCAGTGGGGAGTAGATCTGAGGATCTCTAAATCTTTCTGAATGAATGGAGAATGACCCGACAAATGAGATCCAATCTGTAGTCGGTCTTTTGCATCCTGTCGACCTGTACTCCGTACATCCACTCTTCTGGACCATGCAACTCCCGAACTCCACTCAATTTCTCGTGTTGCGACGACTCAGGAACTGTGAGCTGATTACATGATGATGGCCCTAGGCATACATTTTTTTTATGGCGAAGAGGTTGTACTATGTGTAGACTGTGTACCATATTCCCACTTCCCGACATGTACTGTACAGTACCTCACAGTTACAACTTCAAGGCTCAATCAATCATACCAAGAGTTGCTCATATATAATTGGATCTCTCACAAGCATCCATGTCACTTTGTTCGCCTTCAAGTAGGATTCGAACCCCACCAAAATCTCCAGCGATTTCAATCCTTCGTGCCGGAAATCCTTGTTTGAGAATGTGATTGGATCACTTCTTCATCGATAGCTCCGCCCATTCCGCTTTCCGGGACGGCAGCCCTGGGGCTGGAGACTCGGTTTGAAACCAGGTTTTCTTTAACGCTAGTCCTCTTGAGGACCTGATCAGACTGATGGTGGATTGGGAACGGGCTGAGAACCCACCAGTGAGGGCAGCTCTTTTCCTGTTGAGAGACCTCCGCCTTCAGGGTTCGGACTGCAAATTCCTGCCTAAGGCGTCGATATGTGGGCTTCTGACGACGGGAAGGACCTCGCCAGGGTAAACCATTTGGACAGCATTTTTCCATCTGTGATTTTACATATAGCCGGTGAGAGGAGGGGCAATCAAGGAGGCTCCAGGCTAGCTGGGCAAGGCTAGAGAAAGGCGGACATGGAATTGTTTTCCTGTGCTTACCTCCATCTCCCCCCCTTTAGAACTGCATCTACTCAGTAAATACAAGTTTCCTCTTCATGCCTTCACCGCTGACGTCGTATCCCGCGTCATGATCGACAAAATAGTTGCTGCACCTGTTGCTGCACCTGCAGCTACAGCTGCCTTCAGCCGACTAGGATCTGACTCTGGAATCTGCCTGCAGACCGCTGAGCATTAGATAAGTCGACAGCAGGTGAATGTGACTAAGCAGTCTAGAAGCTGGACTCTCAACTTCCTCATGTAGTTACCGTGGACGCGATTAGTAACTCACGGCACCTCTCCACTGTTCTGCCAATCACAAAATCCGGAAAAAGTCTCTGTGTGAGTTGCCATGGAGGCTGTGAGCCTCGCCTTCGCCGTCGGATCAGTTGAGGCCCACTGAGCATTTGACATCAATCACTGCATCGGTTAGTAAGCTCCGAGACACCGGGTGGCCATAGTCAGGTTTTTTTCCCCGTCCAGTTGGGCCCCGATCTGATGGGTCTTGGTCCGTTAGCTATGACATTTTCAGTGCTGTCAAAATCGTCCTAGCTCGATGCATGTCTACCGTATTATAAGCAAGGTAATATGGCGGTGTTCTATAGATACTGTACAAATGCCGATCGCCATGTGATAAAAACAAGATTTGCCCCAACCTCGCTGTCCAATGGGCAGTTTCCCGCCAGGCGAACGGAAGGACATCACGGATCAGAGCTGGAACGGCAATAGCGCCCCTCCCGAGAATATCTATCACACATCCAAAAAGGCATCTATCTAGAATTTCTCCATCAATTGTTTCCTCACAGTCCACATGCGAAGTCGTTTCCCATAGATATACATAGGGATGGTAGCCAGTAAGCAACCCAGCTGGATCACTCCCAATGCAATAAACACCAGCCGGGATCCTTCTGCATCTAGCCAGTCCACAATGAAAAGCGAGAATATGAGTCCATGAAACACGTCTGCGGGAAAATGTTAGTTGGGCGTTTTGTCGAAGCGCGATTTCAGCCGGGGGGAAGGGCATTACGAACTTTTGCTCCAATTGAGTGTCACCAAAGCTTCACCAGCATACTGCCGGTAGCTGTCAACACAAAATGTGATGGATGTCGTGCTCCCAAGGCAGCATCCAAAAGAAACAATACCAAAGAAGACGGTCGGCACAATCCACATATCGCGCTCCTGGGCACTCCATCCAAATCCCATGAGACCGATTGTTGTGGCGAGAGCGATCGGAAGTGCCATGACCAGACGGAACTCCGGCTCATATATGCCTCCATTGCGCCGTGTCATGTACTTCACAATGATATCCGAAACCTTGCCCGCTACTGCAGTTCCAAGAAGGCCACCCACGAACGGCGAGATATACACCAGGCCAACCTGCAAAGCCGTGAAGTTGTACGTATCTCGCTTTTCGTAGATAGAGCCAACTGCTTCGGAGATCACGATAAGCCATCCCACTGAAAGAGCGTATACAGTGGCGGACCACAGCACTGCGGGATATGCAAACAATATGAAAGGTCGCAAGGCAACACGAAACCAATTGTCGTGAGCAATGCGCCCATTCCAAGGCCGGAGATAGTACGTGAAAGAAATCCTGGGCTGCTCACGGAGTCGGTTGGTGTATTGTGCTGCCGGAGTAGCTGGCGGGGCAGGGTCCATAGACTCACTACGAGCCGGAGATAGTTCAAACCGCCGACCCGTCTCGAGTTCCGAAGGAGATACTGCCCCCGGAACAGGTGGAGTGAGAAAACCGTCAGCTTTCTCATAATTAGCAGGATGTGCTGCTTCTGTGCCAGGCTGGCTTGCAGGAACTTCAAGTACAGGGGTAATTTGGTTTTCCTGCTCCTCATTCTGCACCTTCTCCAGATCCTGGGTATCGCCTTCACCGGCTCCATCAACAAAGCCAACGTGTCCCTTCTTGGCCTTCTTTGGCTGGGCAGGAGCCACGTTCTCATCTGGCGACGGATCTTCCAGACGGTGGGCATGTGGGTGCCGGCCTCGGAATCCATGGGTCATGATGTTTGACATTCCACGATAGATGCTGGGGCGTTTGCGGGGTCGATGCGGTCGAGGGGTGCGGTCCCAGAAGGTTTCCGGTACAAAGAAGAAGAGAAGGACGAGACAGCCGCCGACAACGATGGCAACGACCCAGAAAACCCAACGCCATCCTAGGCTGCTAATGATAGCTGCACTGACCAAAGGAATGAGGTTTTTGCCCCCTAGCAGAAGAAGCGTGTAGATACCAACGCGATATGCCCGTTCATGCAAGAAGAAAATCTCTGCAATAGTTGCGGACGGCAAACACTCGACCGGGCTTACTGCGATCCCCTGGAAAATGCGGGCGACAACCAGACTGGGATAGTTGGGTGACAGCGCACACCAGACGGCAGAAAGGATGAAGAGAATTGCGCCTAAGAGATACACTGGGCGTTTCCCATACAGAATGGCTGTTGGAGACATTACCACAGATCCGACTCCTAGCCCAAGCATGTATAACCCCGTGGTGTAAGCTACCCTTTGCGTGGTTACGCCATAATCCGAGGCGACTTGCTCAAAGCCGGCAGCCAGGATCGGGGTCATGCCCCCGCCCATCAGGCAATAAAAGCCTAAGGATACCAGAGCCGCATCTCGGCGCCATACAGGCCAATTCAGTGGATCGTTTGCTGAATCATCGGGCTGTGGGTTCAGAATAATCTGACCGTTGGCGGTCTTCTTCTGTGGTGGGACGGAGCGGGAAGAAGCCCGCGACGGTGGATAAGGTGAGGGTATGGATGAGCTGGATTCGCGATGTGGTTGGTGCCTCAACCCCAACGGCTCGTTGCGATTAGAAGAGAGCAGAAGGACCGTTCCTGTGTTCACATTGTGAGCCGGCACGTTCTCTCAATGCCAACCGGAAACTCCTGCTGATTCGGTCACTCACCAGGTACCTCATCGGTCTCTTTATCACTTAGGATTCCGAGCGTGGCTTTGGGACGATAAGAATCGTTGTTCTCCGCTTCTGGCGCTGAAGTCTTCGGCGCCCCTCTTCCAAGCCAACCGGCGAATCGGCTCTTTTTCGAGTTGGGCTGCTCCGACGCCGAAGCCAACGGTGACTCTTGAGAGGCCATTATGATGTCGCAAAGAGAGCAAGTGGGACAAAATCTTCGTGGTGTCTATAGATTGAGGGGTAATCTGGATACTGTTGACAAAGCATGGTGTCAGCCATCAATTTCCTTTTCCGTACGCAATTATGAACTGACCGACGTCACCAGACAAATGCTCAGCTCGGAAAGCAATAGCGGCGCCTCAGCATTCTCTTCAATCTAGTGGAGAAGGCGAGCAATTGAATTGGTAAGGGGATGGGGATGAGTGCTCGAGAGGCAAGTAGATGACAAAAATGATCACAGCCTGCGATGAACAAGCAGAACCGGCCACGGTGCGGGCTCGTCAACAGACATGACTAGCAGTGGGAGAATGATGACATTTTATAAAATAAATGAGACTTTGGCCAAGGGGTCCAAACCAAAGGCTAAACCCAGGAGGGTGGATGGAAGCGAAATCGAACACAAGGTATTAACCAGAAGATTATGTTTGAGGAGTCGGTGAAGGCAGTCTAGTCAGACAATTAGGATAAGATTTGGCTGATAAGGAGGGAAGATTGAAGGAAATTCCTCCATAATTTTGGGCCGCGGGATAGAAGACGGCCACCCAGTGATCCATCCGTGCACAACCGCAACCGGTGATTGGCTTCCCGTCTCGGTAGCTCCGACCACATTCAATGCGCCCGACGGACTTCTTTCTTCACTTTGGTTTGTGCTGGCCCCACCAATCGGTAGGCTCTAGAGATCAGATGCTCAATTCTATCCCATCAATCATGCGGAATCATGGATGCTAGACTCTCTCTCTGGGCGAGGAAGGAGGGGGAGAAAGGCCTCTGCTTTGCTGTTTCAGGAGCGATGACGATATGCACTGGGCACTCATGACCTGTCTGCAGATCCGGGCTTGAGACCAAGCGGAGAGGCGCAAAGCTAAACTCGACCTTACAAAATAAGGCAACCCCTCTAATCATTTCTCCATCCTTTTATATGGTCCTGTCTCTGGGAGATGGTGAAACAAAAGCGCTGTAGCACAGGTCTTGATGTTGTCGCTTCAGCGTCATCTCTGGGAATATATCAGGTGTTTCTCCACATCGTCTCTGCTCATAGGTCCCAAAGTCCTTGTCATTACAGGGCACGGTTGTACAGAGGCCGGGCCTTGTCGTAGGCTCGTAGCCTTGTCCACCGCGGGGGATCGCCCCCTCTGATCAGTAGTGGCGGAGATCACCTGATACAGTCACGAGTTTGTGGGGTCCGATGCAGGAGTGCACGAGGTGAACAGCTGTCATTCACAACATCCGCAGCAACGTCAGCGTCAGCCATTATGATAGGTGCAACAGCAACCACCGCAAGAGTCCGAAAGGCAGGAAGGGCAATAACGGTACCACCA